GGATGATATCAAAGTAATTAGATGTCACCATTACGTGAAATATTCGTTTTACTCGCGTAAATTTTTCCATTAGTTCATCAAACTAACGATTGCATGAACGAAAAAATCATCCAGACGAAACAAACGATTTATTCGTAATGATGAACTACTTTTATAGAATATTCTTATATAGTCTACCTTTTCAAATTTTAGACAATAGATTTTTTTTACACATATTCGTTATTATGTCGAAAAAATTACAAGTGAGTGACGTTAAAACACTATCGATCATTCAGTCGACTTTTTCTTTTGTTTTATATCTTTTGGAGGGAAGTAAAAATCAAAAGAAATGCTAACAGACTCAGGTCATACAAGCCCAGTCGTAAACGGTCGTTACAGCTACCAAAACGTCAATTCACGGCTATTTACGACCGTAAACTGTACAAAACGACAGTATACGTCATCGGTTTTGGCCATTACGGCGGCTGTAATGATCACTCTGGGTAGAGCTGTAGAGTTATCTTGACAATCAGTCATCATCAATTAGTTCTGATTATCAAAAGTTGGTATCATCTCAAACAGATGATGATATGGTAAGCGATGTAGCTTAATTCATTAATTCTAACTGGTTAAATTCGTTGATGAGAGAGAGAAAAGAAATCGGCGAGAGTGACCGATCGCAATGAACTTTATAAGAGCATGAGTTGAAGAAATAAAACAACGAGACTTTTCAACTAGTAGCAGAGTTAGGGGGCCGCTGGATGGAGCTGAGCTACCCCCGAAACCCTCAAACGACTCCCAGAAGAAAATTATTGAGTCTAATCACCTTGTCGAGAAACATGAAAAATCAACTGGAATATAGATCAAGATGATTATTCTTAATTATTGATAGGATTTAGACGTACGTTTGTAACACAAACATAATATTAGATTTGATTTTCTTCTCTACATGTCATTGGCTAATACTTGCACAATTTAAGTCAAATGATATTCATATTGTCCTTCTCTTTAGAATTCAGCATGCATCAGAAAAAGAACAACAAAATGCAGGTTATCGTCATGATAGACAAGGACTTTTGAGTATAGCTATATGTATGATGAATCAACCAAATTCATAATCACGTTGGGTATAAGGAAATTTTTATTCACTAGCTTAATAAACTCAACGTTTCTTTCTATATTTTAGCGCCTGTACCTTGGTTAGACACAACACATGTAAGTTGAACATAATTATATTTATTAAAGCTCATCTATTTTCTATAGATCGTGATTGGAGAAGTGATCCAAGGTATGAATGTGTTGGAAGAAATCATTAATAAAGGTACGTCTTGTTTCGATCTCGATACAGCTTACGGTTAATTTAATATTATAGGTATACGTCGTGTCTCCATGGATTCCAAAGTCATCAATATTGTTAGTTAAACTACTGATACAGGTGCTGCTCAAGCTACTGCTAATCGCAATAATTTTGTTGATATTGAACGTAGTGGTGCCGATAGAGTTCCTTCGAATAATGAAATTGCTTGAGCTGATACAATTTCTACTGATATCGAATATAGTAATGATGATGCAATTAATGACAATAATCAAATTGGTTGTAAACCAATTGATCAAACAATGATTTATTTATGTGATGAAATAAACTGAACTTGTATTTTGTTATATAACATTTGTTAATGTATTCACCATCTATTTCATATCAATGAAAAATAAAAAATATTCATATTCAGAACACTCCTTTTAACTGACGAATATTCACCTTGATCGAATTAATTTCTTTAATTAAATTTCATTGATCATCAAAAGCAGAATTTGTTTATCTGTTTTCGGACATTTACATTCAGTTATAAATAATAACGAATAGTTATTATACTGTCTAGTTATTATCAGTGATACATTTGTCTTCTCATTAGAATTTATTAAATAGATTGTAGATAACAGATGAATATCGAAAAAGATATTCATACGAATCAACATACTATTGATATATAATCTTCTGGCTATTAACTATTTCATTTGATTATATATAATGAATATAAATAGTTCTTGATAGTAAAATTAGAACATATCATAAATAAATTATTTTTCTGGATATCTATCTCCAGTGACAGTCCAACTGATTGGTGTAATATGAAAATTTAACATTTTTTTTCCTAGGGCACAAATACACCTATACGATAGGAACTTTGAGAAATGAAATCTTTTTCGAGAAGCTGTTAGAATGTTGATGAACAAACAAGTTACATTGTTCTGTTAATTTCAAGGCTGTAACGTAGAAAAGAAAGACCGAAGAAATTACTTTGGTAATGATTAATCCTGAAACGCCCACCTGTGGTTTGTCTGGGCTCCAACTAATTTCATTCTAATGTTATACAAACACAACGCCAGATTCAATCACGCATCTCTAAGATATGCTCTAATGATGAGTATTAGAATATGCTACTGACGTAAGTCGTTCATTATTATTTGTTGTTTTTATGTGAAAAACCATCTCGAAGTACACCTAAACGCTTATTGTCTACCTGGGGTCCGCCCGGACCCCATATCATCTTTTTAGTTTTGGCTTATTTTTCAGTAATAGATTTTAGCCGTATGTTTCATGACTCTCTCTTTATGTGCTTAAGAACAATCCAGAAGTTTCTACTTATGTCTAGAGCGTGTAGATGATTTTAGAACGTTCGATGTTCGGTATTGAAATACTTTCGAAAACATTCTATTACTTTCTGGAACGTCATCCACATCATATAAATAGTGGATTATTGCCATCGGTAATGCATCGGTTTGTTCAAATTATATTTTATTCTCTCACTGCTTCCTATATTTCCAAACTTATCGTCGTTTTATTTGATTATCAACCATTGCATTTACACATAGACATTTCTATGCAAAAAAATGTTATCCAACAAACGATTTGATCATAATCGACCAAAACATTGGACAGAATACAGTGAATACTTCGACAAAGAACCAGATGAAGGAGACGATAAATTGGAGAACAATACAGAAGAATCGGAAGTGTCTGATGAGCTTGAAGACAGTTCCAACGATTCAGACGACAATGCTGCAACTGAATAAGATTCGGGCGACGAACCTAAGACAAGCTATGTAGAAAGTAGCAGTGATGAAGAGCCTCCTAGACATCGTGCGCGATTCGAACAAGAAGTGGAGTGACCTGAAGCTAAAATCTTTATAGCAAGATCAAGACAACGATGGACAACTGAACAACCTCCCAAACGAAAATTACCATTAGCAAACATTGTTCGACAACGACATGGTATTGGGCGACGAGTACTAGGCATACAAACAGTGAAAGAAGCGTTTCAACTTCTAATGATTCCCGATATGCTCAATCTTCAAGTAAGAGAAACGAACCGACATGGTCACCTAGTCATGAAACAAAGAAACGACCGAAACCCAGATAAAGAAAAACAGTGGAGAGACACAGATGGCGATGAAATGCTGGTTTTGATCGGACTCTTGATCCTCGTCGGTGTTCATCGATGCAAGAATGAAGCTCTCAATGGTTTATGGTCAATGGTCAATGAAAGGCCAATCTTTTGGGCAACTATGTCAAAAAAATCGCTTCAGAAGCTTTCTTCAATTTTGCTGATTTGACAAGAAAACAACTCGAGATAAAAGATTGAAAGAAGATAAATTAGCTACAATTAGAGATCATTGGATGATATTTTTAACTCAACTACGAATATGTTACACCCGTGGTAAATCACTTACTGTAGACGAACAACTTATTTCAACTCGTGGACGTTGTTGCTTTCGTTAATTCATTCACAGAAAACCTGGAAAGTTTAGATTGAAGATATTTTGGTGCTGTGACTCAAGCATGGCATATACACTTAATGGTGAAGTTTATCTTGGATATTAATCGGAAACAACGGCTGCAACTAAGAACATGAATCGTATTAGTAATCTGATGAAACGACTAGTGCATCCTTGAATCAGTACTGGTCAACAATGACAACTGATAACTGCTTTACCAGTGCAGAGCTGACAGAGGATCTTTTGGATGTTCAGACTACTCTTGTTGGAACTATTCGACGAAATAAGAAAGAAATTCCGTCCGAGCTGCAATCAGATCGTCAATGTTCAGAACAATCACCAATATTCTGTTTTCATCGACAACTCACTTTGATTAGACACGTACCAAAAAAGGGAAAAGCTGTGATTTTATTGTCATCAATGCATCATGACAAGACCAATAACGACAAAATGTGGCGTCAACCGAATGGACCAGATGGTGCAAACGTATTCTTGCAACAGAAAAACGAAAAGATGGTCGATGAAATTCTATTTCAACATAGTTGATGTTGGCGGAGTTGCTGTCTTTCTTATATAGGTTAGAAAAAATCCATAGTGGAACGAAAGAAAAACACACCGTCGACGTTTGTTTTTACTTCAATTATAGATTTTGCGCTTGTTCAAGCTTACTTGCATCGGCATCAGCAACAACCAGAATCGATTTAGAAGAGTTTTCGGTGGGCTATGCAAGCAATTGGATTACCCATCATTATTTCAATATCCGATAGTATTTGAGAAAGTGGTGTGTGACGACGTTGTCAACTTTGTCCGAAGGAACGGCATCATAATGTGATCACACATTGCAAGAGCTGCAATATTTCCTATTGTCCAGATCATCATAAAGTCATCTGTGATATGTGTTGCGAAACATTGTTACAGTAAAAGGTTGTAGGAAAAAAATTGAACAAATAATAGATAGAACAAAACATACACTCATTTTTTTTTATTAGCCATTCATGTACTAATCTCTTAGCTACAGACTGAAGAAAACTCATATAGCGTAACACTTGCTAAGTAAATTATATCTATTTTATTAGCATCGAGTCCAAATAGACCCAAGTGGACCACAAGTGATAGTCCGAAAGATGGGCATTTCAGGGTTAGTAATTAGTTATTTGCGTTTAAAACGACGAGTTCATTGTAATACAGTAGTATATGAGAGAGTATTATTATTGTAAACTGTCACTATATATTCATAAATTTTGAACAAACTGTTCTGTTAAGACATATAACTTTACTCAAATTTAAAAATCTTATGTTAGCGTATGAAGCGTGATCTAAAATATATTTTTATAATTTCATATATATTCTTCATTCAGCAAAGCTTACTATATCTATAGATACAGAATTTTATGATCTGTTCATAGGTAACAATACTACTGCATCAGCATTTCTTGTTCTTTTTCAATCAAATCAATCTGAGAATTTTTTGACATCTCACTTACATTTGTTCTGATTTAGCTTGAGACCCTTTGAAAATATGAAGGTATTGCTTTACTGACAAAAGGTATACTTTGTTATTTCTTCGAAGTCTTCCCATGAAAGAACGGAAAGTTTTGATATTAAAATCTCAACCAAACATCATCAGTCACTTTAAAAATAAGAGAGGAGATGGTTATAGCGATATTTTCCTAGTCAATCATGGCAGTGGAACCGATGATCCTAATAGTAATCGTTTGGTATATTTAACGAAAGCAAGTACTAATGGATTGACAACGTAAGACGTAGCTGAATGATAGTTAGCAAAGGTGCAGCGTTTTTTAATGTTACAAAAGTATTCTAAAATAATGCAAGACATACAGTGCTGGCCAAAAGTCCCGAACCCCCCTGAACTTCACTCATAATAAGAGCTAGACAGCTGAAATTTTGTATGTATATACCCTATAATGAATGCTGATCGTAGGCACAACCCCCGTC